CATGACCCGCTCAGGAACAGTGTCAGGTGAAAATTCTGATTAGAGAAGTACACCTTTCAAACAGTAACACAGGAGTCCTAATGCAAGCTTAGGAAATTAAAAACCTCCCGTGGTAAAAGCAGAAGCTTGATTTTTGGCACAAATACAGACCATGTGAACCAAGTTTTCTCCTGGACCCAGAAAGGCAACGTGGGAAATGTAGTTCAAATAGTAGTTTGGGAAATGTAGTGACAATATACAGAAAGGCAGTTTGGGAAATGTAGTCCACAATGTAATAGCATGATGCTATAGAGAAAGGCAATTTGGGAAATGAAGTCCACAACAGAGATGCCAGTATTACATTGCCCAAAAACTGTTTTTTCAACGTTTTTTCAGCTCAACATGCTATTTTTTCCACAAGCTTTGTTAGCTTGTATCCAGGGAATGAGAAACAGGTGACCAGCTTGCCTGTCAGGAGGCAATTAAAATGCTAATACCATCTGTCAACAAGCCACTTTGAAATCCTTTAGAAAACAAGGTAAAGTGGTCCATACACTCAAAAATTACTTTGGGTATGAAAAAGAAACTTACAGGATTGAGTTGTGCTACAAATGTGAGAGGGAAATATTGGAATCATTAAAAATGCTCAAGGTAATCTTGAAAAGTAGCTTTAAAAAATTAAGAAGAGGGAACTTTACCCTCAGTTAAGCTTAGAGCCCTTGATAAATTACACTGACTTCAAATTCTTAAGAAAACTTTCAGAATGATATCAAAGTTGACCATGAACTCCAAATTTTCAGAAATAAAGCAGTGTTGAGTTTACCTATGATTTTTACTATAGTAACTCATGATTTACATCCTCTCTATCTAGTTGAATGAAAATATAATAGTTCAGTTAAGAAATCTCTTCTGAAAGTTTGTAAAATAATCCTATAGAGTTTGCTTTTGAATGTAAGTTAGTTCTGTTAAGAGATTCTTCTAGATAAGTTGGTAAAATAGTTCTACAGTTTCAATTTGAATGTTTGTAAAATAGGTTCCTTTTGAATATGTCTGTAAAAAGTGTATGGATAATGAAATATTGAATGTAAAAAGTGTAAATGTTGAATGTAAAAATTGTAAATGTTAAATGTAAGTCTAAACGTTGAATGTAAGTCTGTAAAAAGTGTAAATGTTAAATGTAAGTTCATACTAGAATTGCTTTTATTACTTTTACCTTCAGATATATTTGAATACTTTTTATGATAGCTTAAAATATAATTTTATGATGTCTGTGGCCCCTGGAAAACTTAAGTGAAGGTGTCATAATTAGGGGAGCTTTTCTGTCTTCTTCCTAAAAGTTTCCACTCTTCTGTTTCTGTTTAGAAAAGGGTAGGCCTTCCACAATGGAGTTAGTTCAGACAGAAAGTCTACTGCTGTGGTAGGGACACATGTACAGATGAGATACTTAAACAGCTAACAGTGTTTTTATAATTAGCATGGGGTTTTGTTCACTTGAGTAGATACTTTGAAATGATTTGAAATGACTTTTCTCCTCAGAATCAAAATCTTGATCATCTGTTAGGAGAGAGTTTTGATCCAGGAAAAGGGCTTGGTACAGCTAAGACTACTGTAATCACCTTAGATCCATTTCAAAAAGGATAGTCCATCTTTATTATCCTCTACTCCTTTACTGGGAGGTGTGGCTACTATGGAGATTGCTGTGGATATTTGCAAGCTCATAGTAAGGACTTGGGTCAGAGCTGAGTCAAGCTCTGTCCCCACTCTTGCCAGAGGCTTGCAGCCAAAGACAGGCAACTTTCTTCTTGATAACTCCCTGAATGTAATAAGGACAATCTAACACAGGCACAGTCTATCTGAGGGGCTTAGGGAGTCCTTTACTATATCAAGAAGGGGGAATTGTGGAGGTTCACAAAGGTTTCCTAGCAAGATATGAGCTTGCTTTACCCAGTAGAGCTGCATTAGATGATTGCTTGACCATGTGCATAGTTTCTAGGTGATTGGAAGGGTCTACACTTTTGCTCCACCCCTTGGCATTCCTATAAATAGCCCTTTAGAAGAGACAGGAGGGGCTGGTGGATAAGGATCAAGGCCCTCCGGAGGCTATCCTATGCTGTTTCTCTCCCCTCTATCCTTCTATCTAAATCTCCTATCCCTCTCTCCTCAAGAGTACCCTGGGGTAAAATGTGGGAGCTGGTCTCCCAGCTGGCCTCCCACAGATGGTAAGACCCTATTGCTAAAGACATTACATGTGCATGTTTTGACTATAGGACATGGAAAAATTAAGATGGGGCTCAACTGGAAACTCCCACCCTACTGGCTGGCTTTCATAGTGCCAGGAGGGGCCATGCAGGCTGCTGGTCAACATTCCTGCTTGGCTACAGACCCTGAATGCTGAAATACCAAGATACTAAGCAGGATGTTTCTATGTGTTCAATAGTGACCCAACTATCATGGCTAAGAAAAACAGTTTACCAACTAGATTCAAGGCCTACACCACAAAAGGGAGTTCATGCCTGGTACTGTATGCTAAGACAAAAACCTGTGGCTGGGGAGGTCACAGGTTCCAATGGGGGATACAACTTGTATGGCTTTTTAGATGGATGTGAAATGCCTATCCAACTGCATTCTAAAAGTGTGTTTATGCCCACAGATCACTATTGTGATCAGCCTCAACTCCTAAGCACTGGTGAAGCTCCTGACAAGTGATTGTTACCGTGGCATGTTAAGGTGGCCTATTTCTTAGCCATAGGTAGACATCTACAGTCACCCCCTCCAAGGTTCAGAAATCACTACAAAAAAGGTGGAAAGAATATAAGAGCAAGAGTAAGCGGTGGAGTGTTGTGTAATAGTTTCCTCTAAGATTAAAACATCCCATCCTGCAGGGAAGCTTTTTAAGCAGGAAAGTAAACAACTCAAAACAGCTTCAGGAAGTCCTTGAAACTGAACAGATTCATTAGGTCTCTCCACACCACAGTAAGCAAAGCCAAGCTGCAAAGACAACTCAAGCAAGCCCAGTTGCCAAGAGGACTTTGAGAACAGACCAATGGCCTGGAAGAAGCAGTAACCAGCTAAGCTGCCTACAAGACGTTTGGACCAACTGAGGCACTGGAAAGAAGGAAACTCTAATGTGCTGAGCTGCCTGCAGCTGTGTAGTGAGCTCCAGGTTCCCAGTTTTGTTAGCAGTCACACATGGTGGGGTGGGCTTTGGTGATGCAGTTATCTGTGAGTCATTTCTGCTCCTGTAAATAACCCCTCACTGTAAGTAATATCCTGTAAGTAATCCCAATAAAACCCCTCACCCAAATCCTGTAAGTAATCCCAATAAAACTCATACACTCACCAAACTGGACTGTGGTGTTATTTGTACTTTGGACTGTCATAGGTTCCCTATCTGGAGTGAGTGCATGTGTGTGTGTTGTGTCTCCCCAGGAAAAGTTTGTCACACAACAGTATGTTATAAACAAATATTTGTTTTATATTGAAATTCTATAAATCCAAAGATACCAAAACTATGTAACAAACAAACCAAGAAAGTTGAGCCTGGATTTTAAGAATTATAAATGTCTTTCTGTGGTGATATGTTGTGTACTCCAATAAAGCTTGCCTAGGGATCAGAGGACAAAGCCAGCCACTATATTAAACATAGAAGTCAGGCAATGGTAGCACATGCCTTTAATCCTAGTATTCGGGAGGCACAGATCCATCCGGATCTCTCTGAGTTCAAGGCCACACTAGGAAGAGAGCCAGGCGTGGTGGCACATGCCTTTAATCCCAGCACTAGGAAGAAAGTAAGATGGCAGGGCAGAGAAAGGTATATAAGGCATGAGAAATCAGGAAGTCTCTCTCTTGAAGCTGAAGATTTTATAGAGGTAAGAACATGATGGGCTTGTTCTATTTCTCTGATCTTTCAACTTTCACCCCAATATCTGGCTCCAGATTTTTTTTTTTTATTAATAAGACCACTTAGCAATTCACGTTACATCTTTCAATTAGTACTGTTATGTTTTAGGCCTGTAATTCCAGTGAAATCAGCAATTCTATTTTACCCTTCTAGATTTAACCTATGAACAAACCACTATAAACATATTAAGTATTCCCATATAAACTATGACTTAGGTTGATTCTCTTGGTGCCATATTCATTCTTTTTCAAATATCTGTATAAATGTTTTGGTTTTTGAAGAGAGTATAGATACATTTTAATCTCATCCAGAACCATAAAGAAATCCTGAGGCCCCTGAAGAGGTTTCAACACAAGATCTATAAATTCCCTGAAATTATCTAACTTATAAAACCAAATTCTATAAACATATAAAAATAGTGGTTGTGTCAGACCTAGGCCCTCTGCATGTGGATGACAGTTGTGTAGCTTGGACTGTTTGTGGGGCCCTAGCAGTGGGATCAGGATATGTCCCTGGCACAGGAGCTGGGTTTTTTGGGAACCTATTTCCCCTGCAGGAATGCATTGCCCAGCATTGAAGCAGGGGGAGGAGCTGCCTCATCGTGATATGACATGATTTGTTAACTCACATGGGAGGCCTCCCCTTTCTGAACAGCAGAAGAGTGGATGGGAGGGGTAGATGAGAGGTGGGGGCAGGGAACGGGAAGAGAGGAGGGAAGGGAAACTAGTTGGTATGTAAAGTAAATGAAAAAAATTTAATTAAAAAAAAAAAGGAAAAAAATAGTGGTTGTGTCATTTCCCCCACAAGAGAAATGGAATACAGGTTTCATCAGAGCCCAAAAATATGTAAGAAAAATTATTTGAAGAAATTTTATCCTTTTCTTTTTCCTTTGGAAGCCCTATATAGCCTAGACTGGCCTCAAACTGTCCTACCTACCTCCCCTCACCAGTACTGGAATTTTAGGCATAAACCACCAAGCCCCTTATCATTGTTACAAATGGTTAAGAAATCTGTCAGTGTTACAAAACAAAAACCACAAACTTATCCAGAGTAATCCAAAATCATTCTAGATATGTTTCCCTTATACCAGTGTTTTTTCTCCCTCCAACTTAAAACTTACTGCAACTTCATTGGTATCTCCATGCTCAAAGTACTCTTGTATAATTGGTGTTAAAGTCTTCTCAAATGCTGTCTCATCCAGAGGCAAAACCACAGTTTCATAAACACAGTTCTCCTGTAGAAGGGAAATTATAAATTAAATATTTAGATAAAATGAAATTATCACTTCACACTCCAACCAATTAGTGATCACCAGTAAGGCAGGATAAAGACATGCTACCTGTTTTAATCACTTCAGAGTCTGTATGCCACTACTTTCATAAAATTTCAGTTAGCCAAAAGACAGATTAAACCCACTAACTGTGGCAAATACATGATTTTCTCCCAAACTCTGTATTTTGAGCTGACTTGGGGGGGGGGGGGGAGCTGTCTCCCTCTGCACACTCTCTCTTTCTCTCTCTCTTTCTGTGTGTGTGTGTGTGTGTGTGTGTGTGTGTGTGTGTGTGTGTGTGTGCAGGTCAGAGAACAACTTCCAGGAGTTGGTTCTTGTCTCTGCTGCTATGCAGAACACTCCATTCATCTGATTCTTCCAACTCCACCTCCCATCTCACCATGGCATGTACAGTTTTTATGGGGGTTACCCGATTCTGGGGATTAAGCCAGGTTGTCTGGTTTGTGCAATAAGAGCTCTTCCCTACTAAGCCATCTCCCTGTCCCTTCACCTCATTTTTTGAGACAGTCTCTTACTGATACTACAGCTCCCATTTATCAAGTCCTGGGGTCCTACAGTCTCCACTCCCCAGTGCTGAGATTACAGATACGCAGCATTATGTCCAGCTTATATGTGGGCACTGGAGATCCACACTGAGATCCCATCCTTGCACAGAGCCAACTCAGCTCTTGTGCTAACTTTTAAACCCCTCTCAAAACCAATTTTTCAATCCAAAACCTTTAAGATGGCACCCTATTGTATATTGTCATTAAAACTTGGCTTTTTAACAAGATTAAGTATTCCTTATATATCAATATCATCAAAAGCAGAAAGTTTCATAATTAATATAGTAAAAATAATGAGATCACATTGTAATGATTGAAAACTGTAAGAAAGAGTAGTTCAAGTGAAATTTCAGTAAGATTAAAAGTCTATCACCAAACCATGTCTCCTCTACAGGAAAGCTAAAATATTTATCTGTAACTGTAATTTGAAATACTATTTGCAATATATATTTAAAAGACTAATATTTAGCAGATTCCCTGGTATTTCAATCCCACAGGCTTTAAATATTTTTATATTCTCTTAGAAATCTTCCCATGTCTATCTGTCAACCAGTACAGATAATGCAAAGAGACAACAGCCTAGCACACACACTGACATCTTCAAGTTGTAATTTGTTATCACCATTTTCTATCTATACAAAGTATTTTTTGATTTAGAAAATTTTTCACAAGATCTAGTATTTACTTAAAAATAATCCAGAATATGGAGGAAGGAGGTAAATGGAGATATAGGACTAAATAAGATTTCCTGTGAGTTAATACAGTGACACTGGTGATGCTCAAAGGTAAGTAGAAGGTTCATTCTAACAAGTCTACTTTTGGAATTTTTCCACTAAAAAGGTAAGGAACACTTCACAATGATGCATTACAACATTCCTTACTAAGCATTATCATAAGAGAAAATGCAGGTGTTCCCAGAACAACATATATGCTAGTACTCGTGTTAAATAGTGACACAAAAAAGGAACCTAACACCTATAACCCAAAATACTCAAGAAAACTCCTTCATCATCAATACTAATCCAAGTCAATAAAGACCTCCAAGCAGAAATTTTATACACTTGACTATCAAAAACTAATTTTCCTCATCTAAAATTAACTTAGCAATCACAAAGTACTGAGTGTATATGACTTTGCTATACATGTTGTGTGTCCCTTTACTACTACAGAGTGTTCATATATAATCACACACCATTTGACATTCTTATGAGTGAAAAGTTAAGAAATCTTACAAACATTGAGTATATAAAAAAATAACTGGTACCCACCTGGTCATCATCATAGTTCGGGTCTTTCACATCCACCTCCTCCACATCATACACCTGTCCAGGTGTACCCCAGACACCCTTGCCTCCTGCACCACCTGGAAGTTGTTGATAGTTCACACATATTAACTGAAATCTGAAATAACTTCAATATAAAAATTCTTATGCTAAGCCGGGCAGTGGTGGCGCACGCCTTTAATCCCAGCACTCGGGAGGCAGAGCCAGGCGGATCTCTGTGAGTTCAAGGCCAGCCTGGTCTCCAAAGCGAGTTCCAGGAAAGGCGCAAAGCTACACAGAGAAACCCTGTCTCGAAAAAACCAAAAAAAAAAAAAAAAATTCTTATGCTAATCATTTTCCAGTTAAGAATTACACTTGAAATTCCTATTTAGATCATTTTTCAATAGTTAGGTTACCTATTTCCAAAAGCATGAAGTTGAAATAACTTACTTAGAAACTACAAAGGCAGAGTCTTTAAAGTATTTTTTTTTTAATCCGAAAACAGCCATGCCACAGACCTTACACAAAGTGACACTATGGTTGACATTTCTTGGAACTAGAAAGAAGGAAATTAAGAGACGCATGTTGGGCCAGTAAATGTGGCATTAAAACCACAACCTATGATTCCACAAAGAACCATAATGACCACCATCAAATGCTTTAAAGTCTAATGTTCTTCCACATAAAGGACACATTAAACTATGCTTGGAAATTAGCAGTGTGTTAACAAATAACTAATTGCTATTTAAGAACAACAACACTGACAGTTGCTTCTATTTCTGTATACAAACCAAAGAGTAAAACTTCAACTTGCCAAGTTGCTTTTCCATATCAAATGTGACACTTTTATAAGGCCAAATTAGTCTAAAATAATACTTTTTAAAAGTCTTCAGAATGTCGGCCGGGCGGTGGTGGCGCACGCCTTTAATCCCAGCACTCGGGAGGCAGAGCCAGGTGGATCTCTGTGAGTTCGAGGCCAGCCTGGTCTCCAAAGCGAGTTCCAGGAAAGGCGCAAAGCTACACAGAGAAACCCTGTCTCGAAAAACCAAAAAAAAAAAAAAAAAAAAAAGTCTTCAGAATGTCATTGCCCCTTTTTAAGTTTTCATTCTACCAACACCCTCCCTTTTTATAAGTTTTATTTCTGACACTGCACCTCTGCCTTTCTTTTTTTAAGTTTTCATTCTGTACTTGGAGTATAATCCCTGCCAACATAGCAGACCAGAATCAGATAACTATCATTCTGATCCAAATGATTATGAAATTATTCACAAAAATAATTTCTGAAAGACTACTATAGTTTACCTGAATAGTTATATATTTATCTTTCTCTCTTCTTAACAAAAAGTTTTCCATAATCATCTTTTTGTCTTGGCATTAGTTCTAGGTTCATTAATGGAAGATGCTAAAATCCAATCTGTTTCATCCCCAACCCTCTTCTAAGCATTTTCATCACCAGATCCATTTAAGTTGTCAGGGTCTTAATTAAGTGTATAAATTGAAGCTCACATCATTCAAAATTCAGTCCAGTCTCCAAATTCTACCAAAATTCTACTATAGATCGAAGTTGACAGACCTTCACCCAACTAGTGTTAAATGTCTATCAGTATTCTGGGCACTGGATACAGCAGTGAAATAAATCAATCCACTCCACCATTCAAACAGCAAAGCTAGAGAGAACCCAGACCAACATCTACAAACATGTTACCAACTGTATTATAGTTACTATTCTTAAACAACAGACCAAAACCAGATTCATTTGGTAAGTTATGATTAATCTGATTACTTTCATAGTGTGTATAAAATCCATAACTGAAAGCAACAATGTTTTACTATATTTCACTAGGGGAAAAAATAAAGTACTATTCCAAAGAAAAAGAATCAACCTTAAGAGAAAGCGATGTGGGCTTCGCTCCACTGCAAATGCATATGCGACCCATAAACCTTACAACTGCCTGTACCTCCATCCTCTTCCCAGCGCAGGAACTGGTTTCCCAGTGTTTCTTTGCATGGCACACACTAACCTTTCTTTGGCAGCCCCCTTCCTTTCCCAGATCGGGACCGTCTATCTAACAACCTTCCTTTTGGACTGGTGGGCACAGCCACTCCACTTCTAATGACTTCACTTCCGTTATCACTGACGGAATCGCCTCTGCCAGAGTCCCGGGACGAGTTTTTCCGTAGTCGTCTTTTTGCCTTGGCATTAATTCTAGCTTCATTAATAGAGGATGCGGAAATCCAATTTCCATTTATTTCATTCTTTATTTCCTCAGTGCCAGCATTTTCTTCATCACCAGAAAAGAGAGAGTCGCTTAAGTTATCAGGATCTTAAAAGAGAAAACGAAGAAACCAAACTAAGTATTTCCAACACCCACTGTTATGTCAGGTACAATTGAATTTTATTACTACCCATGAAATTAACATTTTGTCGTTAGCAGTAGTCATACACTGGCAATTTAACATGGTTTCATCTAATAAAGGACATTACCAAGGAACGTAAACGAAGACACTGAATTTTAACTAATAAGGTCTGAAAAGGAGCCTCATGTTTGAAAAAAAAATTATGCTAGTAGAAGATCGTAAAACTGTAGACTCATGAGCAAAGAGTTATGAAAATAGAGATAGTAAGACAAAAACTCTTGAGACAATGGAGATAAACCACACACAATGTCTATTATGATTTTTAGGCTCTATATTGGACACTACAAATTCAGTAATTGACACAAATGAGAAAATTAAGGTTCAGAATTGTATTTAAAATTACTTCCCAAACATTCTCTGTTCAGTTATAAATACTTAGGAAATATTAGTAACTCCCAAAAAGTCTATAATATATATTTGGCAAATAAATGTAATCACATGTAATTGTTGAACTGACTGCCTTCAACATAAGTAATATTCTTAAAATCATCATCTCCAACTCCTAACTTATTTCCCCAAATTTCTATCTATGAAAAGTTCCCAGCCTATACAAGTTGGCACATTAGCACCTAAAATCATTCCTACTGTTCTCTTGCTTAGAAGTCATTTAATTACTAATCTGCTATCAGAAGTCTTCAAAATACACCCCAAATCTTAATCCTTCCATGAATATCTCCCTAAAAACTCAAGCCACAGTAATCCTAAACATTCATATAATGATCATTTAGCCCATCACAGAAATCCATGTTTTACTTTTTAATAATTCTTTTCACTGGCTATAGCTTCAAAGAAGAGGCTATTACTAGACTGTACTGTCTACCAACAACACTGAGTAGACCACTCTCCACCCCATTTCAGATGTCTCTAAAGACTGCCTGTCAACCTCAGCTTTGCTCTGGAAACGTTTTTATGTCAGAATTCATTTACCACTACAGCAGTTTTGTTCAGGATAGGTAACTCAAGTCAGAGCCAAATCACCCAAATTGTGTGGTGCCTAATTAAAATTATAATGTGTAAAATTGATATATAGGACTTTAATATGTTTCGTGATAGTTTAAAAAGTAAACATTAAATCAACCTCTAAAATCTATATTAGTACTTAATCCTTTTCGATTCTTAACAAAAAGGTACAGATGTCAATAAGGAAATGCTGTGATCCCAAACACACACACTCAGTATATTAAGGTGTCCCATGGGTCTCAGCCTCTGCCTTCAATCTTCAGCCTTCTCTAAATCAAGAGAGTGGTTCCTAAAGCACACCCTTCGCGTGCTCTCACGGGAATGTAAAGTCTTTACTAGGCAGTGTGACGTCACTGACACCTGGCCCCTGCTAACTGCGCCACCCTCGGTGCTGACTATATATTTTACCTCACATCGTCAAATGTAGCTATGATATCTTCTTTCCTTTCGAAAGTCTTCCTAGTTCCGATTGCCTCTCTGTAGAGCTAGGGCATCTTCAGCATGGATAAGGAAGTGCTTTAAAAGTTTTACTGTCATTTTTTTCACATAAAATATGGAATAGTGTCAAGGTTGATCACAAGACAGGGGTTAGGATACAACTTACCAGTGGGGTTTACGTTCAGAATCTGATCATTTTCTACATCCATTTTTCCTTAATTTTGCTTGCACTGATTATACACAAATTATGAAATGGAAGTCTTCCTTTAAAATCTATGTTTTAAAAAAGAAAAAAGTTTCAGCATCTTCTAAGATGACACAATTAAGGTAAATTCAACTTACTTGAATACAATGTGAAAAAAATGCCTTTTTAAAGTCTGCTTTACTTTCACAAATAATCTAATTAACACTTAGTTTCAAATTGCTCGACAAGCTCTTCTGAGACCAAGAAAAAAGAAAAAAAAATTGAGATTAAAATACAACAGATTTCAGCATGTTGCCAATGAATCCCTTAAATTTGGGGTTTCAAGACCTATTTAACAACACATATTTCTTTCAACTTAAAGAAATACATACACAGCAAATCTTTTAAGATTTACACCTCCCCCTCGCTGTGTGTGTGTGTGTGTGTGTGTGTGTGTGTGTGTGTGTGTACAGCCACAGGTGTACAGGCAGCTGTGGAGGCCAGAAGAGGGCACTGGATCCCCAAAGCTGGACTTCCAGGGAGTTGTGAGCTGACTGATGTGGTGTTGGGAACTGAACTCAGGTCCTCTGAAGAAGACTAGGTACTCTTAATCCATGTTCCATCTCTCCAGCCCACATTTAATAGTCTTAAAATTAACCACACATTCATATATAGGAACACAACTATTGGAATAGTTTTCTAACAATAACTTTTATTTCACATATTGATCTTTCAAGCACAGACTTGGAAGCAGAAGTATCTGCCATTTCGTGTCTTTTTATGAAGCACTGAGATGGGGAGTCATTCTTTTAAGTAACCTTTTCTATTATGAGATTTACTTGTAATTTATTTTTAGCATATTGCTTTTACAATCTAAAATTTTCATTCTTAAAAAGAAATAACTTGTTTTAGTAACAAATGAAAGCCAGACGTGGTAACCAAATCCATAAGCACAGCACTCTGGAAGCACAAGGAAGGATCATCAGGAGTTTACAGCCTACATAAGTGACTGTGCTAAGGGAGGCACAGACAGCTGACAGAACTCAGTGGCAGCATGTGCAAGACCCCTTCGATTTTATATTCTCCTTTAAAAAGGGTATTAACTTGTGAAACAAAAATAACCTTATGTTAAAGTGATGCCATAACTGTTAGGCTACACCAACACATTACCATACTGCTTGAGAAACACAACACAATAAAAATCATCCTCTAATTCTATTCAGAATTAACTGACACATGGATCTAAATGATCACTTCCCAACGTTTTAATTTCAAATAACTGAGGATTTAGAAAAAAACGAATTTTTATGTGGAGATTCAAACAGATATAAGACCAAATACAGTTTAGAAATGCAAACACTTAGTACTTTCCATGGCTGGAAATGCCACCTTTGGCTTCCTTTCAGAGTATGAATTACATGTTATAGGAAATCTGTCACATGGGATGTGATCTGAGTTTAAAGTTACACTGTGAAGTTTTTTCTTTTCATTCTTCATGCAAACATAATCTTTGAGAAAATACTTTCTGCAGCATCTACCTAATAAAGGGGAAAGATTATAAACAATACTTATCAAGCCCTGTATAAATCAAAATAAATTTTAAGTGCATTATTTCGTGTACTTCATGTATTCACTTTGCATACAATTCAAGAGATTCAGGAGAGCGGGTGATCTGTGCAAGGATAAAGAGCAGCACAGTAGAGGAACCACTACTCGAATCCAGACCAATCCTGTAAATGCAGGACCAGAGCTCACAGTGCCCTACAGGGAAGGTCCGGGTTAACAAAAAAAGTGACAACACAGACTTGTTACAACAACTGTTAAACACTGCTTTCCAAACACTAAAAGTAATTAATCTATGATACAGAAAACAGCTATCAGGAAATGACTATCACAAATAATATACTGTTTTATTAAGTAATTATAACAAAAGTAAAAATTAAAAAAAAAGTTCCTTCTCCTGACCATGACAACTGGATCAAACAATCAGGAACCGAGTCACAGCCCACAGCAGCACAGCTGTTCTAAAGAACAATATGTTCTACTCTCTTCAGAGTGGCAGGATTTTTTTTTCTTTTTTAAAATTTAACAATCCGTACCTCAAACTTAAGGCAAAGGAAAAAAAAAATCTAAACTCCATTTGCTCCACAGTAATCTATACAAAATCATTTCCAATGAGGGAAAAAAAAGCATGCTTTACAAGTTAGAAAAATTAAAGCTGAAATTAACTGTTCTCCAGTGTACTTCCTAAATAACCCCATAAATTACTGACATTTTTGGAAGTCAGAGTTTAGACCGAATGTTAACTAGAAAATTACTTTAGTTCTTTTCTGGGATACAATCACCTAATTAGCAACTTACACTCAGCTAAAAGCACTGCACCACAGTAATGCAATTGCAAAAGCAATCACTATAGAAAATAACCGTGTACATTTATTTTTGCGGTCCTTACAAGTATTTCTCCCTTAACATTACCACACTAGACAAACTAATCAAATTATAATTCAAAGATGCCACCGGTGTGTGTGTGTGTGTGTGTGTGTGTGTGTGCGCGCGCGCGCCTCAGTAGCAAGCACGTTATGGGTATAAATGCCAATACAGATACATATGCTAAGACTCTGTTTTTAAAAAGGAATATGGGCTTTCCCAAAGCCTCAAACTCTAAATCATGGAGACTGTCACAACTGTGAGTCTCCGAAAATGTTTTAAAAGCCTCCTGTAGGCCTCACAGCCACCACTCACCCAGGCCAGTAGCTGCATTTGAATCATAGCACATAGGACAGACCCTACAGCGGCTGGCTACTGAGCCAGTTCCCAGGAGGGTGTGGGGGAAGAAATGGGGAGACCTACATCTGCAGCCTGGGGGGTGGGGGGGCACCCTCTGTGTACATCACAGCAGCGGACAGACACAGGCAGCAGACACAGCACGCGTTCACAGAAAGGGGGCCCCCTTCTCGGCTGTTTTCCCTAGGTGGTATTCTTTTTCTTTTTAGGGCCCCTGTGCAGGAGACGGCAAGGAGGGGTTGGCGCAGGGCCTGGCGGGGGCCTGTCCGCGTCCGGAACCCGCACGGGCGGACGGCGTTCCCGCGGGACTCCCACCCTCCGGCAGGGCCAGGCCCTCCAGGATCTGGGCACGCAGCCCTCCCCTGACCTCCGTCTGGCCCACACACCTCCCCTACCGACCCGTCCCCCACCTTCAACTGCATCGGGGACGGGCACCTGAGGGCTCCTCGGCCACGAGCGCCCGCGCGCTCAGCCGCCGGGGAAGGGGCAGCGGAGGAGGGGGCGGGCCCGCGCTGCAGCGCCCCGCTCCGGCCTCGGAGACCGAGCCCCGGCGGCTCCCCGCAGCCCCGGGCGTTGGGCGAGCGCGGCTGGGCCTGAGGGCCTCCAGGCGGCTGCAGACCCGGGCTCGTCGCCCCGACCGCCGCGTCGAGGCCTCCACGCCCCCTCCCCCTCCCAACGTGCGGCAAGCCTGCCCGGACCGAGGGCAAGCGGGAGGAGGAGGAGGACGCCGCCGCCACCGGAGCGTGCGAGCCGCGCCCCCCCGACTGACCTCCTCCGGCCGCCGCCGCCGCCGCCGCCGCCGCCGCCGCCGCCGCCGCCGCCGCCGCCGCTCGCCCGGGCCTCCGGTCCACCTGGCCCCGACCCCACTCCTCAGCCTCCGCCGCCGCCTCGGAGCGCCTCTGGCCCGGCTCGCTCTGTTTGTTTTTGTTTTGTTCTACCCAGTAACACGGGGGCGACGGCGTGGCGTTTATTGGCCGAGAGGAGGAGGTCCGGCAGCCAATCGTGGCGGCGAAGCTGCAGCCCAGGCCGAGAGGGAGGGAAGTGAAACGTGGAAAGTCGGGGCGGGGCGCTGGGGGGGCTCCGACGGCCGGCGCATGCGCAGCGGCTCGGGGGCCCGCTCCGCGGGAAGTCGGGGGCGGGTGGGGAGGGCCGGAGGGTTGGGCCGGAGTGGGGGCTGGGGTGCGGCTCGTCGACCCGCCTCGCCTGGTCTCTCCCCAGGGCGTCGGCAGACTCAGCCAACTCCTAAAGCTGTGGATTTCCTGAGGTCCCCTCCATTTCTGGGCGTGTAGGAAAGCTATTCTCTTCCTTCTGCCCCTGGCCCTTGCTCACGCGTGGCTCCTACCGTGTGTCCACGTGCTCAGAAGTTTCTCGCAGCAAAGGCCTAAGCCCTTTGAGATAAAAATCGTTCCCATTTCCCAAATAAAGAGAATCAAAAACTGAAGGCCCTTTGCTAACCAGCCAGGCCACTGTGGTTCTTGCTTTCTGGATTTCAAGGCTGGGTTTCTCAACCATGGCTACAGTTTGCATATTGAAGCAGCCTTCTTTGGCTGTCTTGTGTGACTTTTCCTGCTAGCTCTCATTTTGTCTGGGTCGTTATCTCCTGAGATAGTGTGCAGTGCCTTATAATCTCCCTGTGCCCTTGTAAAAGGACTGACCTGCTTTCTCTGGCCATGTTTACCTATAGTCTGCAGCAATAGCAGAATGATCGCTTGGTCTTTTCAAAACTGAACTGCCTCCTCGCTCAATAGCAATCACCATCCCCTAACTTATGCCTTACTGCCCAGTCTCCTACCTGGTGTTAACTAATTACACACACACACACACACACACACACACACACACACACACACACACACACACACACGCTCCTTCACAAGCACCCCACTACCTCCCTGGGGTTCCTGCTTCTCAACAGACATCCTACAACCCACAATGTGACTTAAAGGCTTTGAGGCCATGTCTCCACACCCTTCCTAGTCAGTCCATGGATACCCCTTCTCTGAAACCCACTTGGGCAGCTCACTGATCCACGTCCTCCCTTGTGTCTTGACAGCTCTTTATCATATCATCTTGAAATGCCTGGTATATCCATGTCTCTTGGCCTTCCTCAGTCTTTGTCAAGTCTCACGCCGATACGATTCATTTTCTGAAACCTAATTCCTCGGAGTATTGGCCTGTTGTGCCTCTGGAGGCACCGATCCCATTCTACCTGGCATTCTTTTATCTGAGTCCCGGTCCTGGCTTGTCTCCCTAAGAACATGGCCTTGTTGGACACAAGATCTGTGTCTCACTCATCCTTTGTATGTGTGCTTAAGAAGCCGCTTTGTAGATTTATTAACCCATATAATAAATGTACATTGTGTGAGTTCACAGAGGATTCTAGCCGTTGGTGATCACCCGCTCTTGGTCAGGGGCTTCTTCACATGGCCAGCATCTGAATTAGCCTCATGAGTCATGATCATTATGTATAATCAGAGCTTCCTAGCCACTCAATTTTGTGGCTTATTTAACTATCTGCAGCTGTCTCCTTTCTCTCCCCTAATCTGTGGCTGCTGGCTTCTCTTTCCCCCCATCCCTCTCTTGACTTTGGTTCTTGACCCTTTTTCCCAGCCTGCCACCAACTGCAGATGCCTGCTAAGTTCTTCCCTTTACTCACTTGGTTAGCACAAGGGATAGCCAGGTTTGTAAAGCAAATATCCCCAAACCTCTGAAATAAGAATACAATATAATCCCCAGTTTAAAAAGAGCACCTTAGACCTCTGAAATCGTGTTAGCAAATCTCCCCGGAAGAGGGATCTAATAGAGAACAAAATATAAAACTGTCTGTTATCAAGTCTGCCCTGGCAAAGGGGACTAATGGAGAATAAAATATTCACATCCATTTTGCTCGCCGTCTCAACCCTTGCCCCAATATCTGAAATCCCAAAACCCACCTTAGTATGTGGTTGACCAGTCTGGGCCGGACAGGAGTGATGTTCTAGTCCCAGGTCTCCTGCTACCAATAACAACTCCACTTCCTCCTCAAGACTTCTGTTTCTTTACCAGTAAAATTCAGATGATATTTTCAGAAGCATATGAATTTTGCAATATTTTAATAGGCATCCTAAAAAAAAGTGGGGGAGAAACTGTTTCATAGCCACATATTGGGAAAAAGGAGTTTCAAAAAAGTTAAACTTTCCTTTACGATGCACTCTTAGCATCTTTGGTGGGCAGCCCAAGAAACTTGACGTCTATTTATTTGAACACAGAATTCTTAGGCTTCAAGATAGCCCAGAACATGTTGCAAAAAAAACCAGCTTGGGAGTATATATGATAGCCACCGTCACCAACACTGTTTCTAGCCAAACTGAACCCTGATCATCTGTGCCTTTATAGCTAAATGTTTTAAAAGAATAAAAATTAAAGAATGAACTAGAAATAGAAAAATAACCAGGTGCCAAGAATTCTTGCGTAGCAAATCAATCTACAAGTATTTATTGGCTGCTTATTCTGTGAAAAGCACCTAATTTATCCATCTGTGTTCTTAGCAAAAGGCATTTTTCTGTCTAGGAGAGCTAGTACCTGAAGCCTAGGACTCCCCAGGCCTTCTGGCCACCATGTGTACTTTCATGTCACATTATAAACTCTCATAGACTTTTTGTTACTTAAAGCCCTTTGCCTATGGGCTTCACATTTATTTTGCTGTTAGATATAAATTTCCCTTCCTCTTCACTCGTTCATTCCAGAATAATGGGATTGTAACTTCCATTTCCTTTCATAACAACTCATTCCAGGAAAGAAAAGACCAACAATAACCTAGGACAAGCCACCTGTTCAGAAGTGACAGCAGAATCTTTACTGTATGATGAGATGGGCGTTACGGAGCTCAGTTTCCCACTATACCTCAGGTTTAAGCCCTGTTAAGATGCACAGAGAAGGTGTATTTGGCTTGTGGGGGTTTGTGGGAAGAAGAGTGTGATAGAGTTCCTCAGTTTTGCTTTTAAGTTATTGACTTTGTTCCTAACTGCATTGCTTTGGGCATTTTCAACTTCTCTTCCCCAGATCAATCGAATGCTCCACTATTCTGGACTGTAAAAGAAGGAATTATCGACTCTGAGGGGTCACACCTCGAGATACTATGCAAAGAACGTAGGTCGCACCACAGGAGTCCTGGGAATGAAAAACCAGAGGTGACAGAATTTTCCTCTAATTCTGAAAGGATTCAGTGAGATGCTGGTAAAATCATTGTCACACTCAATCTAGGAGCTGTCTCTGGGTGCAAGGCTTTGATAATACAACGTCCCCTCCATCCCAAAGGCAAGAAGAGTGATGGCAGAAGCCAGGCATGGTGGCCATACCTGTAATTCCAGCAGTTGGCAGAGAGAAGCAAGAGGACTACCAGGAGTCCAAGGGCAGCCTGGGCAACAGCATGGAGCCATCCCCTGATCAAGCAGAGAAGAGAGTGGCTGACAGTCGGTGCTAGGCCCGGCATGCTAATGAGTTCGGATGAGCAAACTGCCTAGAAACACACAGGTGGAAGGCAAACTCCTGAATGTCTGCAGGTGGCTGTGGCGCTCCTCAGAGCCAGTTCATGCTTTGGACAAAGTCACATTTGAGATCTGAGGGCTCTGACTGAGCACCGTTCAAGCTCCTGCATGAAACTGAGAAGCAGCCATCTTTCTGGGGAGTGAGAGTAGATCTAGCCCACTTCCTTCCCAAGGACTTGCAGATGAGATTGTCATTTGCATCAGCTTCATTCACAAACAGCCTTGGTCTCCCTTTGTGGAAGCCAAGATTTTAGGAATTTCCCCAAGAGGCCATGTCACAGTGTACACAGTGATGTGGATGAGACACTCTGTGCTTCAGAGGCGAGAGAAATGAAGCTTAAGCAGGTCTCTAGTAATCATGGGACTTTTTATGCTGAAAGCAAACTTTTCATTTACTAAGTAGAGAAACAGATCCAGAGAAACTGAGTGAGTTGTCCAACCCTCATAACTAGTTAGAATCAAAGCCAGAAGAGAAAATAAGGTTTCAGCACACAGGTCAAGTAGGGATCCTACAGACAGGAAGGGTCCAGGTGTTTAGAAGCCCGGCTGGACTAAATTGTTTCTACAGCTCAGTCCTGAGTCTTTTCAGTGAAAGTCAGGTATCTGGACCCCAGCACCTTCTGCTCTCAGGTGACTCCGTCTCATAGACATTCTCAAGAATCTCATTCCTGGGCTGCAGAGCACGGCATGATCAGAAGCATAGCACAAGTATGCTATGCACAGGTAGATGCAGCACCTTACCACAGGATAAACCAAGGAGTGCTGAGTGACTGGAAGCGTTTACTTCAGTTCAGCTCCTCAGAGGTTTTGTGGTACTTATTTTGTGGTCTTTTATAGGGCTTATTTACCAAGTCAGTCCTACCACCTTAACAAGTTAGAAACAAGCTCAACTAGGGATGAGGAACTCCAGAAAAACTCATTTCCCTTAAAAAAATAAAAGAAAATGTTACCACATCTCCTACACCTACACCTGGCCTGACTTCTAAGCCTGTGAAAAATGCAGCTCCTTGGTCTTTTGCAAATTGGTCACGGAGCCCCATGCTTTCCTGCGCTTACGATCACTGCTCCACCCTACCCTTAATTACGTGGTGTTGGGCTCCTCCCCTTTCATCTCTGAGGGCTTTATTTGCATTCTTCTGGAACACTGGGTTCTTGGCTAGCCTTCATGTCTCAGAATTAACCCTCTCTTCTCCCTGTTGAGTGCTTGAGTGCGCATCGTTACCATTATGGCCTCTTCATCTCTGGATCCACACAGCTCCTGCTTGCCTCCCAGATACCAAACACGAAGCTAGTAGTGTCAAGGGAGCCCGGGATAGAAATAAGAGAGTTCTTTCCTGATAGAAAATAAAGAGTAATGAATGACCTGGAGTTGTGATCAAGAGAACCAACTCTACAAGGGAATGAAGAGAGGGCTAGAAAGGGAAGCTGGGTGGGCTCGAGAGAAAGAGGGTGGCACACTGAAGAAATGGATTAATTAACAGAATTAATCAAACTTCTATTTATTTTGAACAGAAAAATAAA